CAGGACAGAAAACATTTGTTTGTGATCTTTGTGGACACAGGTTTGGAGACAAATCAACTTTAAACACACACATGATAGTTCACACAGGACAGAAAACATTTGCTTGTGATCTTTGTGGACACAGTTTTGGACGAAAGTCATATTTAAACAGACACATGATAGTTCACACAAGACAGAAAACATTTGCTTGTGATCTTTGTGGACAAAGATTTGGACATAAGTCATCTTTAAACTCACACATGATAGTCCACACAGGACAGAAAACATTTGTTTGTGGTTTTTGTGGACAAAGATATGGACATAAGTCAACTTTAAACTCACACATGATAGTTCACACTGGACAGAAAACATTTGCTTGTGATCTTTGTGGACACAGGTTTGGACATAAGTCAACTTTAAATTCACACATGATAGTCCACACAGGACAAAAAACATTTGTTTGTGGGTTTTGTGGACAAAGGTTTGGACACAAGTCAACTTTATACACACACATGATAGTCCACACAGGACAGAAAACATTTGTTTGTGATCTTTGTGGACAAAGTTTTGGACTGAAGTCGCATTTAAACAAACACATGATAATCCACACCAGATGAAAGCAGTTTAGCTGTGAGTAATAACATTTGTATTGTCTTTTTTTAATCTCATATAAAATAAAGCATTCCTTTTATTAATAATTTTTCTTCGTACCTTTGTTACCAAACTTTCAGTTTTTATATTTCGCCACTAGATGATGGTTCACTTTTTTATAAGAGCTTCTGTAAAAGTCTAGTTCAACTTACCCCAGAAGAGGTAAGTCTTTCACGGCTAGTCGCTGAAGAGTCCTGCCTCCACGGTAGACGACAGCTGCAAACAAGCTGCAGTCGGCTAAACACAGCAAATGGTTAATATGTGTTGCAAACACATGAATGATGCAAACTCCAAAATAAACAACAAAATTAAAAAGAAGCAGAAGAAATCTGAAATCACAGAAAATAAAGAAACACTGAAACCAAAAATTAATGCAAAGAAAAAATGCTGCAAAAACTAAATATAACTGAATAAGATATGCTGTAAACTCAGAAAAACAAAAGTTCACCAGACCACTGGGGGGGGCTTGTCCACCAAGTTGCATTCATTCAACCTTTATTTAGACAGTTTAATGCCATTGAGCCTCGAGGACTCATTTACAAGAGAGACCTGATTTCAACAAAGAGTGATGACAACAATGGACAACAGCAACAGACAATCATAAAAGAGGCATACAGATTTTTTTTTTGATTTTTTTTTTTATATGAATTGAAATAAGATGGCAAAAAAAGTAGCATAAACAGCTAGATTATAAGGCTAATGTAGAAAACTAAAAACAGGAACATGTCTGCATTGGTCCTTGCCAGGAGTCCAACAGATTCTTAAAGCCACTTAGAGAGGTCAAGGTTGAGAGCTTCAGATCTTTTTACAAGATATTCCAGGAAACGGGAGAAGAGTAGGAGAAGGCCCTTTTGCCTAGTTCAGTCCGCACTGAGGGAACACTGCAGGTAATAATGTCGAGAGTGCACGCTGTAGCTGCACTCACGCAGATACATGTAGGAGGAGATGTATGAAGGCAACAGACCAAGAAGTGATTTAAAGATGAAAATATACCAGTGAGAGAGTCTGCGTGAAGTTAATGATGACCAGTTAACCAGTGAATACAGGGTGCAGTGGTGGGTACAATAATCACAGCCAGTTATGAATCTTAGTGCATTGTGATAGACAGCATCCAACATCTGCAGGGTGCTTGTAGAAGCATTCTTGTAAATAATGTCACCATAATCGATGGAGGGAAGGAAAGTCACAGTTACAAGGCGTTTCCTAGCATTCAGTTAGACAGGATCTGTTTCGAAAAAGAAACCCAGTTCAACTTTCAGTTTTTTTACTAGGTGTTCCACATGGAGCTTAAAAGAGAGATGCGAGTCGACCGAGATACCCAAATATTTGTAGGAATCAAACTCAATAGGGACACCATTTGATGATAAAATCGGAGGAAGAACTGCTGGGACTGACTTTCTGTTTGAAAAAATGCATCCCTTTGGTTTTATTGGCATTTAAGACAAGTTTGAGGTGGAACACATCTGACTGGATGATGTCAAATGCGGATTGCAAAAGCTGGAAAGCCTTAGCAACTGTTTTAGCTTGACAATAAACAACTGTGTCATCAGCATAGAAATGTAAGGATGCGTCAAGGATGCTCTGGCCTACATTACCTATGTTGATCGTAAAGAAGGTGGGTCCTAAGACTGAAGTCTTGTGGTACACCATTGTTGACTGTTAACTGGAGGAAGTACCATTATGTTGAACACATTGCATCCAATCTGAAAGATAGAGACATAACCAATGGTGTGATCTGAGAAACCAATTTCTGAGAGCTTATGACACAAGATGTCATGATCCACAGTGTCAAAAGCTTTAGACAGGTCTAAGAAAAGTGCAGCAAAATAATCCTTAGCATCCAGTGCTTCAACAACGTCATTAAGAACCTTCAGTTAAGCAGTCATGCTGTGTTGTTTCCTGAAACCAGATTGATGGGGAGGTAAGATGTTAAATGAGTCCACATACTTTTTGATTTGAGAGTTTATCAGTTTTTCTATGACCTTGGCTAAAATGCAGAGTTTAGAGATTGGCCGATAGTTATTCAGTGAGGTGGGGTCACCTCCCTTCAGCAAAGGAAGAACATGCTGTTTTCCAAGCATCTGGAATGGAATTTTGGCTTATGGACAGGTTAAAGATGTGGGACACAGGGACTACAATGATGTGAGCGGCCAGCCTTAAGAAATGAGAAAGTTCACCTGGTCCTGCAGATTTTTTAGGATCAAGACCTTTTAACAGTTTATTTACCTCACTAACTGAGAAAGGAGAGAAAGAGAAGGTGTGATTAACTGAGGATGGACTTATAGGAGGGATTTGATTTGTAGAAGTTTGGTATTCAAAGTATTTCACATCATAAAATCATTATAATCAGTTGGACATGCCCGAAGCACCTCTCTAGGGAGGCGCCATGGGGGCACCCTTATCAGATGCCTGAACCACCTCAACTGGTGCCTCTCGTCGTGAAGGAGTAGCTGTTCTACTCTGAGTCTCTCCCGAATAACTGAACTTCTCACCCTATCTCTAAGGGAGAGTCCAGCTACCCTGCGGAGAAAACTCATTTCAACCGCCTGTATCTGCGATCTCATTCTTTCGGTCAACAGAGTTCATGACCATAGGTGAGGGTAGAAACGTAGGCCGACTGGTAAACAGAGAGCTTTGCCTTACAGCTCAGCTCTCTCTTCACCACAACAGACCGGTACAGAGTCGGCAATACTGCAGATGCTGCACCAATCCGTCTGTCAATCAAACGCTCCATTCTTCCCTCACTCGTGAACAAAACCCCAAGATACTTGAACTCCTCCACTTGAGGCAGAACCTCACCCTCGACCAGAAGAGAGCAATCCACCCTTTTCAGGTTGAGGACCATGGCCTCAGATTTGGAGGTGCTGATTCTCATCCCAGCTGCTTCACACTCAGCTGCAAACCACTCCAGTGAGAGCTGAAAATCACGGCACAATGATGCCAACAGGACCACATCATCTGCAAAGAGCAGAGATGGAATCCTGAAGCCGCCGAACCGGAAACCCTCCGCCAGCTGGCTGCACAAAAAAATTCTGTCCATAAAAGTTATGAACAGAATCTGTGACAACGGGCAGCCTTGGCGGAGTCCAACTTCCACCCTGAAGGGGTCCGACTTACTGTTGCGCTTGTATAGGGACTGAACAGCCCGTAACAACGTGCCTCCAATCCCATACTCACGGAGCACCCCCCACAGTGTACCCCGAGGAACACGGTTGAATGCCTTCTCCAAGTCCACAAAACACATGTGGACTGGATGGGCAAACTCCCATGACCCTTCAAGGACCCTAGTGAGCGTAAAGAGCTGATCCAGTGTTCCACAGCCAGGATGGAGCCCACATTGTTCCTCCTGGATCTGAGGTTCAACCAACAATCGAACTCGCTTCTCCAGTACCCCTGAATAGACCTTACCAGGGAGGCTAAGGAGAGTGATGCCCCTATAATTGGAGCACACCCTCCGGTCCCCCTTTTTGAAGAGGGGAACTACCACCCCAGTCTGTCAGTCCAGTGGCACTGCCCCCGATGGCCATGCGATGTTGCAAAGGCGTGTCAGGCAAGACAGCCCCACAACATCCAGAGCCTTAAGGAAATCAGGGTGAATCTCATCCATTCCCAGAACCCTGCCGCCTCGGAGCTTTTTAACTACCTGGCGAACTCAGACATGGTTATGGACGGATCAACCCCAAAGTCCCCCGACTCAGCTTTCTCCATGGAAGACATGCTGGTGGGATTGAGAAGGTCCGAGAAGTATTCCTTCCACCTCCCGAGGACATCACTGGTTGAGGTCAACAGCACCCCACCTTCACTGAACAGTGTTAGTAAAGTGCTGCTTTCCTCTCCTCAGCTGCCTGATGGTTTGCCAGAATCTACTTGGAGCCCACCGAGAGTCTTTATCCAAGGTCTCACTGAACTCCTCCCACATCTGAGCTTTTGATTCAGCAACAGCCAAGGCTGCACACCTCTTGGCCCTCCGGTACTCCTCAGCTGTCTCCAGAGTCCCACTGGCCAACAAGTACAGATAGGACTCCTTCTTCAGCTTGACAGCCTCCCTAACCCAAGGTGTCTACCACTGAGTTTGTGGATGACCACCGCGAGAAGCACCAACAACCTTGTGGCCACAGCTCAAGACAGCTACCTCAACAAGTGACGTACGGAACATGGCCCACTCAGACTCAATGTCCCTCACCTCAGCTGGGATGCGGTCAAAGCTCTCCCAGAGGTGTGAGTTGAAGATTTCTCTGACGGGTTCTTCTGCCAGGCGTTCCCAGCAAACCCTCACTACACGTTTGGGTCTACCGGGTCTGTCCGGCATCTTCCCCCGCCATCTGATCCAACTCACTACCAGGTGGTGATCAGTTGACAGCTCAGCTCCCCTCTTCACCCAAGTGTCCAAAACAAATGGCTGCAAATCAGATGACATGACTATGAAGTCAATCATCGATCTACGACCTGGGTGTCCTGGTGCCAAGTGCACTTATGAACACCCTTATGTTTGAACATGGTGTTCGTGATGGACAAACTATGACTAACACAGAAGTCCAACAACAGAACACCGCTCGGGTTCAGATCAGAGAAGTCGTTCCTCCCAATCACGCCCCTTCAGTTCACACTGTCATTACCCACGTGGGCATTGAAGTCTCCCAGCAGAATAAAGGAGTCCCCAGCTGGCGCATCTTGCAGCACCCCTGTCAAGGACTCCAAGAAGGCCGGATACTCTGAACTGCAGTTTGGCGCGTAGGCACAAACAACAGTCAGAGCCCGTCCCCCCCACCCGAAGGCAAAGGGAAGCCACCCTCTCATCTACCAGGGAAAACTCCAACACACGGGCACCAAGTCGGGGGGCTACAAGTAGACCCACACAAGCTCGATGCCTCTCACCACGGGCAACTCTAGAGTGAAATAAGGTCCAACCCGGGCTGAGCCTGACGAGCCCCTCCCCCAGGCCTAGCTCCTGGGTGGGGCCCCGGTAACCCACGTCCGGCAAGGATTAATAAAGTATTTCTGAATTTGAATTTTAGTTAATGCTAATAGCACAGTATGGGAGAAATGTAATGATAAAAATGGACAGGTTATCGAAGAAATAATGGGAAATAAAATTTTAGTATGTATTAATGATGGGAGGAGAACAAGACTAAAGGCAAGAACAGGAGCAGAGTCCATCGTTGATTTAACAATTGTATCAAACTCACTGGCTAGTAGAGTTGCATTCAGGCCCAAAAAATCTGGTCTGACCCGACCCCAGCCCCAGCCCGCAGTCATAATTTCTGAACCCCACCCGACCCGACAAATTAACAGTAATTACAGGTCCAAACCCAGGAAAAAAAAACCTGACATTTTTAATTAGTTATTAACGGTCGGGGACGCGCAACTGAATGAAAGGGGCAAAAGATTCTGAGCTTAGGGGTATTTGTTATTTCATGGCCGTAAAAGAGGATTTAAACCCTGTTTCAGACTGCATTCTCCTGCATTACTGAGACATGTGGACAGCTCTGACACACGCATCTGCTTTGGAATACACCTGTCGTTGGGGACGCGCAGCTGAATAAAAGTGGCAGAAGATTCGGAGCTGAGAAGTGTTTGTCCTTTCATGGCCGTAAAAGAACATTTAAATCCTGCGTTCTGATTTAGTCACTGACCCTGCTCTGACACACATCTGCTTTGGGATCTCAACTGTTTGGGTTGTCGGCTGCATGCGTCCGCTGAGTGCAGCGGCTGAATGAACGTCCTTTTGGGCAATTGATCGCTGCCTGGCTGTACAGTCCCATCTAAAGCTTAACTGAACTTTTTACCTCTTTCAAGGCTGGTCAGCTTGCAGTGAAATGGCTGCATGCAGCTGGTTGAAGTATGGCAGGCCATGCTATCATATAATTGGATCGTGGCTAATCCTTACCTAATGAAAAGTCGGACACCGACCCGGCCCGCCCATCCAGCACATTATCATGGCCCGGCCCACCCCAAATTAGGGTCGGTTGGGGCCGGGATTAGGGCTCGGGTTAGAAATTACAGCTCTATTCTGTGTTACAGCTCTGTTTTAAAGCATTGTTCAGTTCTTAGTTGTTTATTTATTTATTTATTTATTTATTTGTGATCAGTATATATTACTGCATTATAAAACAAACCTTTAAATATGCATCATTCACTACCAAAAGTCTACCCTATATTTTTTTATAAATAAGCAAAATACAAGTTGTTTGTTTACGTTCAAACATTGACGAGTACACTTAAGGCAGTTTGTCTCACAATGGCCATGACGGATATAAATTAAAACTTAGTTCATGTGAACACTACATGCTCTCGTCAATATTTAATTTAATTTAGTGCATTATTGATGGAACAGCTTAACAAATCTTGGGAAAAATCATGTGATATTGGATCATTTTTATCAATAAATAAATGACCAAGTATAATATTTTTGTCTCATTTGTTTAACTGGGTTCTCTTTATCTACTTTTAGGACTTGTGTGAAAATATGATGTTTTAGGTCGTTTTTATGCTGAAATGTAGAAAAATTTAAAGGCATCACAAACTTTCAAGCACCACTGTATGTGTAAATATAAAGCAATGCATTTGTGCCTGATATTCATGTTTTCAGTGTTCCCTGCAGATGTTCAGCAGATGGTGCTTATTAAAGAAGAAGCTCCTGATGTACAGATGCTTGGTGTGGACCAACAGGATCCAGGGACCCTCAACATAAAGGAGGAAGAGGAGGAACTGTGGACCAGTCAAGAGGGAGAGCAGTTTTGTGTGAAAAAGATAACACCGGGTTTGCATTCACTGCTGTTCCTTTTTGAAGAGTGAGAAAGTTGAAGAGAAACTTATGTTTTTACAGCTTCATCAGCACCAAGTAAAAGAGGAAGATCTTCCAACCAGCAGCTCAGCTGACCAGATGAAAGTAGCAACTGGTGGAGAGGACTGTGGAGGAGCATAGACTACCAGAAACTCAGATCTAAATACTTATGGAGATGATTGCAGCTCTTCAGAGACTGAAGTCAGTGAGGATGATGAAGGTGATGATGTGAATGACTCTGACACTCAGCTAAAGGACTTATCAGACTCTGGATCCGAACCTGAAGATGGTGACAACGACTGGATGGAAAGTTTTCTGACCTTCTGACGTGAGGCACTCTCTGCAGTTCTTCTCTTAAACAGTAAGCGTCGCTGCGGAGCAAATACTACACAGCTGACACAACACCAGAAGAAGAGTCACCGGAAGTACTTCTTTTACTCTAACGAAGATTAAAATAAAAGGTGAATATTCATGGTCGAGACGGTAAGACGGAGACGGGTGAAGATAGGAGTGAATCATCTTGAGACGGCGGATGCTTTCGAGCGGATGGATGACGGAGAGAGAAAAGATGAGTCAGCAATTTGGTAAGGCGGTTGGCAGCGGCTGGGCTGTGAATGGGCAGGAGGTTGCAGAGGGAAGTTCTGGATCAGGAAGTGAGTTTGATGAAATGGAAGAAAATAGTGGCGGAAATGAAGAAGATTGGAGTAAGTTAGCTGCTTCAAAAAGCAGAAAAAAGCGTAAAAAGCAGACATCAGCTGAAGATATTTCTAACCCAGAAAAGGATGAGGAAAATGAACTAGTAACTAAGAAACCAAAAGATGAGTATAAAGTTATTATTAAATTAAATCAAGAGGGAGAATCTTTTGGTGAATGGAACCCAATACAATTAACCAAAACAATAAATAAACTAATAGGTGAAGTCCTTAGCGCTAAGGTTTTACGAAGCGGAGCACTTTTTGTTCATTGCAGAGACAGCATTCAACAAGGAAAGGCAATTAAGATTCACAAAATGGAAGGAAAGAAAGTTCAGAGCAGTCTGGTTGAAAACAAAAAAAATGGGTAGAGGAGTCATTAGTGGAGTCCCTTTAAAAATCTCAAATGAAGAAATTCAAGCAAACATACGTGGAGCAAAAGTGAAAGAAATTAAACGTCTGCAAACAACAAGAAATGGAGAACGATGTAACAGCTTGTCAGTCTTGATTAAATTTGAAGGTGAATGTTTACCAAGTAAAGTCTACATAGGCTATATGAGCTATGATGTGAAACAATACATTCCTCCTCCGTTAAGGTGTTTTAAATGCCAGAAATTTGGACATGTAGCAGCAATCTGTAAAGGAAAACAACGATGTGGAAGATGTGCAGGTGAACATGAATATGGGAAATGTGAAAAAGAGGCAAAAATTAAATGTTGTAACTGTGGAGAAGAACACACTTCTGCTTACCGTGGATGTCAATACAGTAAAAGAGCAGAGGAAATCCAAAAAGTGAAACTCGCTCAAGGGATAACTTATGCTGAAGCTGTGAAAAGAATCCCAAATCAACCAGAGAAGCCAAAACCAACAGTGACACCAAATATAAAACCAAAAACTTGTGATGGATGCTCTAAAATACCTAATGATTCAATGATAGTGAACAAAAAGGATTTTGTGCTGTTTATGGTGGAAGTGATTAATTGTTCAGCTCAGACAGTAAAGAAAACTGAAAAGATTAAAATCATAGTGAGGGCTGCAGAAAAATATCTAGATGTTAAAGACCTTGGTTGGGAAGCTGTAGAAAATATGATAGGTAAAGGAGTAACACCAACTCAGTCAGAAGGTGCTACTTCCACATGGTCATAAACATATTTCAATGGAACGCTAGAAGTCTCATCTCAAATGGTCAAGATTTTAAACATTACATATCACAACTACAAGAAAAACCACATATCATCTGTATTCAGGAAACCTGGTTAAAACCAGAATTAGATTTTGTTTTACATGGGTACACTGCCATTAGAAGAGATAGAGGTAATGGAAGGGGTGGAGGAATAATGATCCTTGTACAAAATAATATAGGTTACAGTATAATCCATATAGGAAAAGAGCATGAATACATTACTATTAAAATATGGACAGGTAGGGATGAAATGATCATTATTAATTATTATAATCCATGTAAAGAATTAACTATTGAAACACTGAATATAGTTAGAGGACAGGAACAGGGGAAAATTGTTTGGTGTGGAGATTTTAATGCTCACAATAATCTTTGGGGAAGTGATCACACAGACATAAATGGCAGAAACGTAGAGGAATTCATTGATGATAACAGACTGGTGTGCATAAATAATGGAACAGGGACCAGATATAATATTACAAAGAACACAGAAACAGCAATAGATTTAACAGTCACCTCAAATAACATTGCAGGAATTACGCAGTGGGAAGTAATAAATAAAACATCACTTGGTAGTGATCATTATCCAATAACCATTAAAATAGGACTGGATGTTCTTAAAGGAAAAACATTTAGAGTACCTAGGTGGCAATTTAATAAAGCAAACTGGATCAAGTTTCAAAATCTGACTGAAATTAAATGTGGAGAAATTATTAGAGAAGATATTAAAGATATTGAAGAATTTAATGAAAAATTAACAACAATACTTATACAGAATGCAAATAAAGCAATACCTAAAAGTACAGGAAGTAGAATTAAAAAGAATGTTCCATGGTGGGATGAGGACTGTAAAAAAGCTATTAAAGAAAGGAATAAAGCATTTAAACAACTAAAAGTTCAGCATACAATTGAAAAGTTAATATTTTATAAAAGGAAACAAGCAATTGTTAGGAGAACAATAAGAAAAGCAAAAAGAGAATACTGGCAAAAATATTGCTCTACCATAGGGAGAGAAACTAAATTATCAGATGTGTGGGGGATGATAAAGAAGATGAATGGAATAACTAGGAAATATGAAATCCCAATAATTAAAAATGAAAACACTGTTGCAATAACTGATCTAGATAAAGCAGAATTATTAGTTAAAACTCTGGTTAAAATACATAGTTCTGACAATATTTCAGCAAATGTTAGGGAGTTGAGGAGCAATATATTAAAAAACCATCCAAATATAGATAACAAAAAAACTGTCAATGGAGGGACGATGGATCTACCTATTACTTTATTTGAATTTAAAAGAGCGCTTAGTAATACTAATCAATCATCTCCTGGAAAAGACAATATTTGTTACGATATGTTAAAACATATGGGTGAAAATTCTATTAAAGCAATATTAATTTTGTTTAATTTAATTTGGGATAGTGGTAAAATACCAACTTCATGGAAAAATTCAATAATAATACCAATATTAAAACCAGGTAAAGATCCTTCAAATCCTTCCAACTATAGACCCATTGCTTTGAATTCACAATTGGGGAAAACAATGGAAAAAATAATAAATAAAAGGCTATATAGTTATTTAGAATTTAATAATCTGTTATCACCAAATCAAAGTGGATTCAGGAAAGGGAGAAACACAATGGACTCTATTTTATGCCTCGAGTCAGAGATAAGGAAAGCACAAGCTAACAAAGAATCAGTTATTGCAGTCTTTTTCGATATAGAAAAAGCTTATGATACACTTTGGAAAGAAGGTTTATTAGTAAAACTGGAAAAACTTGGGGTAAAAGGAAAACTATTTAATTGGATAAGTAATTTTTTGTTTGAAAGAACAATAGAAGTGCGAGTGGGAAAGGAATTTTCAAGTAAATATATTGTGGAGAATGGTACTCCTCAAGGTAGTGTTTGTAGCCCAGTATTATTCTTGATAATGATCAATGACATATTTGATAAAATAGATCATGGAATCAGTAAATCTTTATATGCGGACGATGGAGCTTTATGGATTCGTGGTCGTAATGTAGAATATCTCAGAAATAAAATGCAAAAGGCAATCAATGAAGTTGAAATATGGTCCAATAACTGGGGTTTTAAACTTTCAACAACAAAATCTCAAGTTATCTGCTTCTCTAGAAAACATAAGTCTATCTCCTTAAAGTTATATGGTCAAAACCTTGAACAGGTTAAGGATATAAGATTTTTAGGCATGATTTTTGATGAAAAACTTACATGGAAGCAACATATAGAAAAAATAAAAATAAAATGTAAAAATGTTAATAATTTATTGCGTTGTTTAACAGGAAGGGAATGGGGAGCAAGTAGGGAAGCATTAGTAAATATATATCAATCACTTATGAGATCAACAATGGACTATGGCAGCATTAGCTATATGGCAGCAGCAGAAACTCATTTAAAACTTCTGGATATAGAACAATCAAAAGTACTCAGAATATGCAGTGGAGCGTTTAGAACATCACCAGTTTCAGCTCTACAAGTTGAAATGGGGGAAATGCCTTTACGAATAAGAAGATTGAAACAAATGTTACTATACTGGATTAATATTAAAGGACATGACCAAACACACCCAGTTCATAATATATTACAGGAATGTTGGGAACATCAAAAAACAAATATTTATAGTTTTGGCTGGATAGGTAATATCAAAGCTCACTATGCAGGGTTGCATGAAATAGAATTAAGTCCAACAGTTAATCAATCGTGTATCCATCATTGGTTATATATTTATCCTTCTGTCGATTTATCATTACATAAATTAATCAAAAATAAAGGGAAAAATATTTCAGAAAACTTCTTAGTGCAACAATTCTTTCATAAACAACATATGGATAAAATTATAGTATTTACAGATGGATCAAAAGATCCAGAATCAGGACAAACAGGAGCAGCAGTGTACATCCCAAATCTAAATATAGAGATGAAGAAAAGAACAACAAACAACTTGACAGTATACACAGTAGAATTATTAGCTATAATCATGGGTTTAGAATGGATTGAAAAATATAATGGTCAAAAATATGTCATTGCATCGGATAATATGGCAGTCTTATTAAGCATCAAATCAAGTAAATCAGAAAGACAAGACCTAATTGACAGGGTTTACCACATTCTATATAAACTTCACTTGAGGGAAATATCTGTAGATTTTGTTTGGGTTCCAGCACATGTGGGAGTGGAAGGCAATGAAGGTGCAGACATTCTTGCTAAACAGGCAGTAAAATCTAAAAATGTAAACTATGAAATTCCAT